AAAGGTGGGTGAGTGCAGAGTGGAGACTCAAAGCCCATTGGTAGGCAACTGGACACCCCCTCGCTGAAGGGTTGAGGGGAGGAGACGAGCCAATCAGGGTGCTGGGGTGCAACGATGAAGCATATAACTTTCCTCTAGTTCTTAAATGCCTCCCCACCACCACTATCATGATCCCAATTCTACCTTATAAATCTGGCTAGACCAGAGGATGTACACTGGGACAGAGAGCAACTGGAAACACAGGGAATCCAGGACAGATGACTCTTTCAGGACCAGTGGTGAAAGGGGTGAGGCCTGAAGGATGAAGGGAATAAGGAGTGGAAAGGGGGAACCGATTACAAGAATCTAGGTATTGCCTCTTCCCTGGGGGAGGGACAGCAGAGAAGAGGGCGGGGGGGAGATGTCAGAAAGTGTGACTTATGACAAAAGTATAATAAGTTGTGAATTATGGAGGGTTCATGAGGGAGGGGGATGGGGAGGGAGGGGGAAGATGAGCAACTGATATTAAGGGCTGAGGTGGAGGGCAACTGTTTTGAGAAAGATGAGGGCAGCGAATGTACATATGTGCTTGACACAATGGATGGATGTATGGATTGTGATAAGAATTGTACGAGCCCCCAATAAAATAATTTTTAAAAAAAAACATAAATTAAGGGTTAACGTATGAGTGGATCTGTTTATTTATCTATCATTGCTCCAAAACACCTTTCTTCCTGATTATTGCAACTTCAAATGTCTTTTGACTTGGAGAGAATCATATCACCTTATCCCACTTGTGTAAAAAAAATCTAGCTGCTCTTTGTAATTTGTATGTATGTGTATGTCAACTTAAAATCAATTTGTTAAGTTCGATGCTAAAACCAAATGAACAAAAATAAAAACTTGTTAGGACTCAGATTGATATTTCCTTAAATTAATAGATGAGTTGGGGGGAAATTGAGATCATTACTTACTGAACCCTCTAGCAAACAGTTATGGTGTATTTCTCCAGCTTTAGGTCATCTTTCCTTTCATCCAATAGCTTTATAGTTATCTCTGTAGAGCTCCCAGGTGTCTCTTGCTAGTTTTATTCTTAAGTACCTTCTTATACTATTAAAATGATATGCGTTATCACATTCATTGCCCTATTGTTGATGGTGTACAGACACTCCCTCTCTTTTGCATGATTTTAAATATATTAACCTTTCCAAACTCTCCTACTAATTCTAACAATTTACCTACATCCTTTCCATTTTCTGCATATTCAATTACATAATTTGTAATATCAGTTTTTTTTTCCTTCCGTGGAATCTTTATATTTTAATTTTATTTTCCTGCTTTTCTGCAATGGAGAGGACTTCAAAATGTTCATGACAATAGAATTAAAAAATTAAAATTATAAGTATTATTTCTCCACATAGACTCCATTGAGGTCAAGGCAATTTTGTAAGCGTTGAGACCAATCATTTAATTCATTCCTAAAGAACTGTAGGTCCTGGAAATTTAACTGCATCAGAGCAGTCTTTTTTACATTATTAACCGAAGCAACAATTTGAAAGATTGAGAAACAAAAAGAACTCAGAAGGAGCCAAATCAGGACGGTAATGAAAGTGTTGCCATGGAAACGCTTACAAATTGCCCTTGTTTGAGA